ATATATATATACATCTCTATATGGTCGGAATGTATTGATATATATATATATATATATCAGAGAGAGAGTGAGAGAGAGAGAGAGAGAGAGAGAGAGAGAGAGAGAGAGAGAGATGAAGAGAGGTAGAAAATGTCGTTGCAGTGCTACACTAAAGAGCCACACCTACATATATTTCCCACTTCCTAAAATATAATAAATATGTAAACAGAAAAATACATATAGTGTGTGTACGTGAACACATAAAATATATAAAACATATAATAAAATTACAAAAAAAAAAAGAAAATAGTAATTAAGTAAGTGGAAGGGAAAATAGGCTAAGAAGGTGTGTGTGTATAAATATAAATAAATGGGTTGTTTGGGCAAAATGAGGCAGATACCGAATTGATGCTACAAAGTAAGCGATGAGCTCTCCACTCGTGATTTATTTTTCTGCATGTGAACGGGTTTTCCATTTCCAGCATTTTCAAAACACCTTCTTTTCAATTGTCTTCCACCTTTACCGCCTTCCCACGTAACAATAAGGCTAAATTACGTTCACCCATGAGGTAATGTTAAATTACGAAAAAACCCCTTCTGTTTGGGTAATTACAATCACCCCTTAACTATGAATCTTCTTACACGTCCACTCTTATGGCGTCAAATTCAACATATTTTTTTTAAATTCAGTGGAATAGTCTCTAATTAGTACTCGTTTTGTGCAAAAATGTATATTTCAGATGCACCACAATCTGATATTTACAAGCCAAGAGACACATTATCTTATGATCTTGTTTCAAAATGTGGAGTTCGAATGCGGTAAAACGAGTTTAAACTGGAAAATATTCGATTAAATTTGACATTGCAAGAGTGAACGTGTAAGAAGATTCATGGATAGGGGATGATTGTAACTACCCAAACATACAGGGTTTTTACGTAATTAGACATTACCTCAGGAGTTGTCGTAATTTGCCCTAACAATAATGCATACTCGATGGCGAAGTTGCAAACATTTTCATGTTTAATAATTTATTTACATGATTTGATACTAAAATACTATATTAACCATTTTACCTCACACACTTAAATTATGAATTTACTTCTCATTATAAACCCAAAATACATAGAAAGTATATTTCAACCAAAAAAAAAAAGAAAAAAGAAAAACTATAGGTGGTCTTGAACACCAAGGAACTTGCTTTTCTTTCACAAAATTTTCAGTTTTCTTAACTTATCTTAATAACTTACACATAATTGTGATGGTACAACATATTCCTAATCATCCAACATGAAAGATTTAATCTAGACTCAAAACTTCCAAAAATCAACCAGAGCGATTCCACCGACTGTATCTGCTCTCATCACCGCCGCCACTGTGGCGGTGTTTCTTGCTGCGCCTCTTCTTCGAACTGCCCTCCTTCACCGCCGAACCGTTTTCACGTGCTTTAACTTTCTTCACCGGGGTTGTGTTGTTCTCCTTTGAAGCAGCCGCAGCCTTCTTCCTTTTCTTCCCCGACGAGGATTTCACATCTCCGCCGTTGCCACGTGGGAGCAGTTCTTCTTCATCTTCCTCGTTGTTTAACGGCCAATTACAGTAAATCTCCTGTTGATCTCCGTCTAGTAGCTGCTGCATTGGCTCTGCAGTAGACGGGAATAAGTTATCCAGTGTCATATTGCCGTTCGTCCCTCCTTTTCGCTCCAACAGTACTGAGTCGGGCCTGATTATAGCACCGAGAATACTCCTGTTTGGACCGAGGCTCATTATCGTCTTTGCATTCGTTAATATTGTGAAAGCCATTGCAAAAGCAGATCTAGCCTGTACAAACAAACCAAAAAAAAACCCATAAACGCTAATTCTTGGTAATTATTTGTTTAACCAATTATATGTTGTACGAGTTACTAGTGTGCCTCGATGAAGAAAACCGGAGCCTACAAAAGATGTTATAAAAAGAATTTTACCTGGTAATAGTTGAAGGAGTTTTTTCCTATGTCGTTATCTGGAGCCTGTTTCACAGAAAAATTGTGTCGATAAGTTATAAAACATGGTGAAAACAAGTAACAAGAAAAAGTAATGATTATACATATGGTGGCGCGATTTCCTTTTGCTACTAAAAGGAAGAAGAATAAAATTAAAAAATTAACCTGTGGGTCCTCGATGGCAAGAAGAGACGGCCGGCCTTCAACTGCAAACCTGAGAGCATTCCGGGGACCCATGAAAAATAACAAATTAAATAAATTCCAATATACAAATAACACTACAATATAAATGAAATAGCTGAAACAAGTGATGAGTTTATTTACCCTTTACTACTCTTTGAGAAGAAGATGCCTCCACCATTACAAGATACGCCGACATCAGATGTATTCAGTTTGCACCCATACATGTCGAAAAAGTTCACCTGGTTGCACAAGAAAATCCATAATTCAGCGAGAAAATAATTTATAGGTACAAACAGAAATTAATCATCATTTCAGAGAATCTCTCAAACACTCGAAATAATAATTGAAAATATATTTAAGAAAAAGTATAATAATTTTACCAGTAACACTCCTAGGTTATGCTCAGCAGAAGCTTGACGGTCTTCCTGAGCCTGTCATATATCAGGCAAAAATAATTTAAAGTACAAAGATAGATGAAATAATTTCAAAAGGGAAAAAAATGTAACTAATTTTTCAGGCAGTACACCAGTATAATTACCCGGAGCAGTGCTATCAGCATAGAAAGGAGTGCATAGGAGCCGATTCCACCTGTGTACACCTAAAGGATAATAGTAAGATCAGTTAAATAGAATCATGGTTGTTAAGTCGTGAATCAAATCGTAAGACTTGAACCGTAAATTGTAGGATTTTAACCATGGATAAAAATGCGTTGACTGGCAATAATATTTTTTTAACAATGGAATTTTAGTTTCACCTCATTCAACTCTCTTTGCTGTAGGAAGATCTTCAAAATTAGACACAATGGCCTTAGAGGAGGCCATCGAAATACAGCATCCTGCATATTAAAATTAATAATGAGTCTTAACAAATACTTTTATGACAGACCAAATTAAACGAATAAATCCAATAGGCAAAAGAGAGCACACCTTTATAAACTCAGCAGCTTTTGGTCCATTGTGAACATCAAAACTGTCACCAAGTAATATGTTAATCCCAACAAAAGAAGACAGTGGTGAAGAAATGTAGAGTATCGATAGAAAAACGCATAATAGTGATATATCATTTCCATCCACACACAAACACATACACACGGACACATACACACGGAGAAAGTTTATTCCGACACAGTTAAACTATCAAAAGTCACATGATAGAATAAACCCGAGTGGACTAACCTTACATCAAATGCAAACCCGCTTTTCTTTTCCACAAATTTAATGATTGGTACCCGGGCCTTTGCAATAACCTGATATGGCAGGATGGAAAAGACATTGAAGAAATCGTAGAACACAAATTTGGCACCAAAAAAAAAAAAGCTTTGCAATAGTAAGATTAAAAAAAAATTAATAAAACAAAAACGTACCTGTATCTTCTTTGCGATTCCTCTTTGAGATAGTGCCCTAGAGAGAGCAGTTAGACCTATCTGAGGACTTCTTACATTTGAATCCAATATCACAACCTGCGATGTATCGACGTATTAAAAAAAAACATGTGCGAAAGAATCCTTCGATATAAAGAAAATCTGCAGGCTCGGAGAGCAAATCCTTCAAGTGAAAATAAACTATAATAAACAAGGTTAAGAATCTCTTCATGAGAAAATAATTTAAAAAAATATATATTCATGGAATCTAATATTTACGATAAACACCTTCAAGACGAGAACTTGCGATCCTATTCCGTTGCAAAGACATTAAAGCTGTCATTATGACCAACATATTTTTATTTACAACTCAAGCTAGGTTTATATGACAAGTGGCGTAGTGCCGTTACTCCTATACAACACGACAAATAGATAAAAAGTCGTTCGATAGCATTAAACCTGCCATGGCCCACAGTCCTATCAAATGAGTAAAAAGCAATTCACTTTTCATCGGACAGAAAGACGACCACATAATACTTGTCAAGCAATCAAAAAAAAAAAACAGTCAGACAAAATTTCCATCATCAATGATTGAAGGCTTAATTTAAGCTTACATCGATATCGCTAGATGGAAGGTAAAGCCCTGTCCTAAACGATCCAAAAACTTCCGTCTGCATGTTAAAAATTGTCGTAAGTACCAATCATACCCAAACACACCTCCACATTAAAAAAAAAAGTGAACGTACACGCGCACATACCTCAGCACTAGGCCAGATATACTTAATTACGCCAAACACAGCCTCTATAGCCGCATTTCTGGATTCTTGCTCCGCTGGAGTTGGCGATAGAAACTCGCAGAAATCAAGTATTTCTGCTCATATCAAGTTAAAAATCACCGAAATTGATTATCTCAATGCATATCCAACATCAGAAAATTCATAAATAAAAATCATATAAAATAGCAGGCTTAAGATACAGCTCAAAAAAATTGGATGCATTGCTGTAAAATTATTAATTGAAACAAATTAAAAAGATGCAAACAATTCAAAAACCTTTGTGGAGCCGGAGCATGGGGCTTTTGAAGCGGGAATTGGCTCGAAACCAATTGCCTTCTAGACTCTTCTCCGCCGCCGGAGTGGAAGGCGTTCGAAGAGGAGTAGCTGGAACGGAAGTATCTCTGTCTTCCGCCTCCTCGTTCACGTCGAGGGAGAAGTAATCGGGCGCGGCGGATTCCGGCGACGGGCATTGGGGTGCGGAGAGGGAGACCTTGTTTCGTAGGACAACGTAGGGCTCGAATTCGGAGGATGAAGACGCCGGTGGCGGAGGTGGAGTGTCGGGGGCGGCGCCGTCGAGGGGGGTTAGGGTTTCGTAGAGTATATCCTGCGGTTCCATTGCAGTGTGCAGGTGGTGAAACGTACGGACAGAGGTCAGATCGGTCAGTTTATTTATTTATTTTATTTTATTTTTCTTTTTTCGTTCGTCATCGGGTTTTTATATCGTGGGCTACATCCTCTTTTACGGGTCTGATTGTACTCTTATTGGGCTTCAGATGTATGTCACAGAATCTGATAATTACAAAATGGAAATTGGAAAATTTCTGTTCGATTTTGATCCGAAATTTTCGATTTTAGAACATATGTTTTCGTATTAATTTCTAAAGTTTCGATTTATTATTTTTAGATTTTCTAATGTTACTAAAATATTTTTTTTTTACTTTCTATGAAAACTGATTTTTTTTTCTAGAGTGCTAATTCTAATCCGAAGCGTCCAACGTTCACAGGGATTTTAGTTACAGGTGTTCAAAATTTTTGTTCATGGTATTCGAAATTGATCTCATAATATAACATATGGAAAAATTACAGTTTACATATCTCAAGTTTACTCCGATTTCATATTTTGTCCCTTATGTTTACAAAAATACATTTGGAGCCTCATATTATAACAATTTAACACTTTTGGTCATTTATGTCAATTTACCGTTAATTCATCAGTTGACGCAGTGATGGGCACAAGCTTGATTCCACCTTCAATTAATCCACCAACACCTCGTCCAAATGTCCAATTCTTCCGCCTATACCCCAACAACCCCTCGCAACGCCGCCGCAGCAATTTCTATTCTAAAACCACCACCACAACCAAATCTGCCGCCAGGCAGATTTAAGAGTACAAATCCCCTCACATTCAATTAGTGAATTTGGAAAGAATCACCGCCGGATTATGTGAGGCTAGGCATCACCGCTAATCGACGGCGATATGGATGGTGCAAAGTTTTTCTCATCCGGTGAATGGGAGGTTTATGTCCTCTATATCCGATGGGGCGCGAAGCAGAGGCGGCGGAGGAGAGTTAGCAGGCGATAGAGGGTCGCGAAGCAGACAACCGGCGAATTAGAGGCGGCGGGCGGCGAATCAGAGGTGGCGGGCGGCGGACGGCTAAAGAAGGACGAGAGTAAAAATGAATAAAATAGGTGTAAAAGGAAAAGACCAATTTATCCCGGTTTAAATCATAAGCTTCTCACATGTTTTGGATTCGGGTCTATTTTTGATAAAAATGGATAATTTCTGCTCCGGTGCTATAAATTAGTGTAAGTTCACGTATACCCGTACAATTTTTTTTCGTTCAGGGGTAAAGTGCAAAAATGTCCAAAGTTTAGGAGGATTTCTGGAATTAACCCTTTAAATAATTCAGAATTGTCTACACTTAATTTTTTTTACAGATGTTAATTTCATATTAGAATAAATTTACATGCCTAAGACGTTATAATATTTTTTAGAAATTACAGACGTACCCCTATATTTTTAGGGGCTTTAAGATATAGGTCCCTAGTAGCAAAACTAATTAGAACTAAATGACAAGTCTAACTAAACATTTGCTTCACATCCTTTATATATTTTATTCCAAAAATGCCCCCACATAAAAAAAATGAAATATGCACCAAATGATATTTAAACTGCATTTATAATTTTTTTCATTCTGCATTTAACATTTTTATTTTCGCATCTAGCATTTTTGTTATTATTTTTTTTGTAGAACAATTTTTTTTTTTTTTGCATTTTCGTATTTTTTCCTTTTTTTTTACATAATATTACAAATTGTGATTTTTTAATTTTTTTTTCAGCTGTAGTCTTCTATACAAACCCGTAGGAAACCATAGTAGTCCGTAGTCATGTATAGACACTCATAGAAAACTATAGTAATCCATAGTCACGTTTTCTCAAAACCCTAATTCCTCTTTTTGAACCCTAGCCGTCAAACATCATAGACACCCATAGATACTCATAGAAATCTATAGACATTTTTGTCGAAAAAACCTAGATCTACCCCACCAAACCGTAGATCTCCTCCACCAAACCCTAGATCTGTGACGCCAACATCACCACGCCGCTAAAACTGCCACAAAACACCACCCACGCTGCCATAACCGCCCACAACGTCGAGCACCACCGACACCATCCCCAGCCCCCGAGCGCCGCCCCCCGCCGCCGCCCTCATGACCAACGCCGCCCCAGATCCGCCGTCGCCGCCCTAGAGCCGCCGCCGCCATCACATCCATCCCCCATGCCAGTCGCACAACGTCGAGCACCACCGACACCATCCCCAGCCCCCGAGCGCCGCCCCCCATCGCTGCCCTCCTGACGAACGCCGCTCACCGCCACCGCCTCCCCAGAGCCGCGGCCCGCCATCACCATCCCTCTCCCCATGCCACCGCCTCCAACATCATAGTCGATTCCATCGTCACAACCACCGACCCCTCTCAAATCATGACATGGAGTGTGGCGAGAAAGATATCTTGAGATTGAGAGAAATAAATCGAGAGAGCGAGATAGAGAAAGCCAGAGAGAGAGAGCGAGACAGAAAGAACGAGAGAAAGAAGAACAAAGAGGAAAAATAGATCTGAGAAGAAACGTGAATATGTTGGTTATAAGATTTAGGGTGTAAGGGCAAGATAGGAATTAAAATAAAATTAAGGATGTGGGTCATATAAATTTTCAATCTAAGGATTTAATTAAAAAATTGAATTTAGACTTGTCATTTAGCTCAAATTAAGTTTCGTATGAGGGACTCCTAGCATAATTTCGCCGTATCCGCATTCCATTTGTACCCAAAATTTCAACAAACTAAATCACCACTCAACAATTTCAACAAACTAAATCACCACTCAACAATTTCAACAGATCATCTCAATAGAAAACGTTGCAATCTGCATTATTCATTACAACCTATTCTATCTCACTCGAGAAATACATGTGCAAAGTTTTTTCTTCTTTTCAATTTTAGAATCACCAACAAGAATAGAGTCACCAACAAGAAATGCACGAATCAAAAATTTACTGATTACATGTAATATCGGCGAGTAGTATTATAATCCTCGTCTCTATCTAGGATGACATCATCTATCTCGTCATCATCGTCGTCGTCGTCATCGTCATCGTCCTCGTCATCATCCATAAAGTCCTCATCGGTATCTTCTTCTTCCTCTTCTTCGGGGACAATTTTACGCCCCGCAGCAGCGGCCTCGATTTGCGTCGCGGAGGAACCGAACGACCATTGCAGAATCATCGGGAGATTCGAATTCAAATCCGTCGGATTTGTTGAACGGCGGCGATGCGAATCGAGGCTGCCGTTCCCCAGGTGAAATAAGTTCGCAGATCCGGCATCGGAAAGGTTGGGGCTAGAAAAGGCGGGTTGAATCAGATCCGAAGAGGCGGCGGCGGGATGGAGGAGATGGCGGCGCGTGAGGTGATGCAGTGCAGGATTTCGCAGATTTAGAAGTCTTGATGCGGCAATTGAAGCTGATGAGGCTGCCATTTTAGGTAGAATCTGGTTTTAATTTGTGCAGGAAGGAATATCGGCGAGAAAGAAATGTATATAAAGGACCGGGTTAGGGTTTTTGGAGGGTTTTGACATCTGACTCGGGGTTTGTAAGGTTCCAGAGAGTTCCGAGGAGCGCCGCCATGTTTCTTTTAGGGATTAGAGTTGAACCAAGCCAATTCACAGGGGTATTTTAGTATTTTCACATTGCATTCGCATCTCAAACGAATTCGCTTGGGGAATTTATTTAGGACCGAACCGCATTTTCAGTTTCGATTTGGGGATTTATATGTAGTTACCCTTATATATATTATATATATTTTTATTTTTTTCAACTTTATACTTGTTAGTTCAACTTGCCCCAAACACTAATCATTTTCTATCACCTCATTAAAAATGAGGATTTTCTAGTCTTGTATGTAATGTATATAGTAAGAATTATGCTGCATTTCATAACTTTTTTAATATGTGCGTAAAAAGTAAAAACATCGAACGACACATATTTCAACTGCGGGAAAGTCAAATACTTTGCGCTTCAATAAATTACAGTCACCTCCCTAATATTTGGTCTAATTATAACCTATGTTACATAGACACGGGAACGGGGACACGGCGACACACGGATACGGACACTGGGATACACTTAATAAAAAAAAGTAGGATACGGGAACGTGGGGGATACGTGTAAATATTAAAAATACAGGGGTTTATTTATAAATTATTACTAAATTATGTTTTATCTTTTATGTACAATATTAAAATATACATGAATATTTAATACGTTTATTCAAATAAATTTGCAATTAATTATCAGATTAATGAGAGAGCTGCCAATTTATTCTTCCAGTTTCACAAAAACCCAAATAATCAGATTTGTAAAAAAGAAAATTACTTTTTTTTCCCCTTGACACGCGTGTCTACTTAGGGTACGCGTGTCCAACTTTTCAAATATTACAGACACGGCCCAACAGCGTTTCTTATAGGTGTCTTCGCGTTTCGTGTCCGAAACGTTTCCGACACGGGGAAACTTCATGTGTTTGCCGTGTCTGTGTAACAGAGATTATAACACACAGACGAAAAAACAACAATGGAAATTCTTGTGGTGAGGCTTTCATAATCTCCGAAATCTCCTCGGAATAATGCAACAGCCGCCATATCGCTGCTGCAGATAAACGATCACAGCCAAAACAACAATCCCACATCGAATCGCAACACCCCAAGTTATCGAGTAAAACTCCCCTGTCCGAATTTTTGCATAATAATAGCCGGTCCCACTAACATAAGCGTGGGGGGCTAAACGAATCGCACTCATCCCAACGTAGAAACATTCGGCCAAAGCCTTCTCCGTCGAACCCGTAAAAATATTGAACAAGACTTGAGGAACAAGAAAACCACCAAGAATCAAACCTGCATAAGACAACCTTAATTCCCCCAAAAAGTAAACACCACAGATGCACATTAGCACTGAAAAAAAACAAGCCTTTCTCTCATCAAACCACAAGCCCTTTTCGTTTCCATCGGAACTATGTCGTTTAGCTGCCCAAACTAACCCGAGTAGGCGCATTTCCATCAAGAAACTAACCATGGTTACCGCCATAGTTGCCGTCAATTCATTAGCACCGAGAAACAAACCCGAGCTAAGCGTTCGCACTTGTCTACTACTACGAAACGACGCGTTAAAGTTTAGGACAAGTTGGATCATGTGTCCTAAAGAAAGAACCACAACCATTACGAGTGAAACGAAAGGGAGTAAACTCGGGTCCCTCTTCACATGAGCAAGTTGTAATCCTACAAACACGCACGTAAATGTACTCGATATCAAGGCCATAACAATCTCCATCTCGATTCTCCGTTCCGATTGCTTAGCCAACTTTCGATAGAATGTAGCTGATAAAACGCTCATATCCTCAAAGTAGAGAGGATCGATTTTCGCTCGTGTGCTTCGGATTATTCCTCTGACGAGGCATTCTCTTCTCGCATCCAACGGAGAAAACTCGAAATTAACGATAATCTCACAGTCCGTCGAAACATTAGTAGTCGGGTTTTTATTATTGTAAGAAAATAGCTTTCGACATCCCACCATGCAGAGGCGTCCATTACGAGCATCGTACACTCCTTCAGCAGTTATCTCCACTCTACTTCTAAGATTCATCGAAGAATACAGCGACGGAAATAATTTATCGAACTTGATTTTACGAAAAGGGCGTACACCTATCTTGTAGCTGATATTCAAAGGATATTCTTCCAGAATATTCTCGGGGAATATTCCGTAGAACTCGTTTCCCACAGAGATAGGCATTGCATCACCGGAAGCAAATAGTTGCCTTTTGGAGTTTCCGACATAAATATCAAACTTCATGTCTAGAGAATTCCCTTTCGGATATATATTCGTATTATTTTCCACGACTCGGCAAAACTTTTGCACTCGGTCAAATTCGGTGTACTCGTATCTCAAGCCTGGAAAAACCGCCATGTCATTCTCGTCAGAGCTTCGGACATTAATCTTTCTGAAATACATAGGATCATTGACAGTTGTGTTGGTCCAAATATGGCCAACAACTTTGGCATCGTCTCTCGTAGTCCATGTTGCAGGGTACGACAAGCTAAGCCTGATCATACAACCGTCGACGGCGTTCGAGATTCGACAAGCAACGATAATAATCCTGCACTTCGTCTCATCCCATGAGCCCTCAGCGATCAACGTCCATACGGGATCGAAATCCTCATAAAATACGCCACGCGTGATGTTCCGGAACCTTACCGTGTACCTCACCTTGCGCTGGTCCGCCGAACACTGGATCATATCCAACGACACGAACGAAGGCAAGAGCAATCCATCGCCACCAAGCGGAGAACAATTTCTCGAAGTGAGATTCATATTCTTGCACTCCGCCGCGTATATCATTTCAAACACAAAGTACCTCCCCGAAACCATCGAGCAAAACTCACTTGACTCCAAATAGAGAGACTTATTTCTTGAAATATCGATTTCGCCATCAAACCCTTCATCGAGTTCTCGCGAAACCAACGAATAACCGTACAGGGGCAAAACGGGAAAACCGAAGATCAGAAGAGGGTCAAAGTTAGCAGAACTATTAGCCATGCTCTTCAGAATTCCGCTGACGAAACTCGACAGTATAGTTGGATTCTTACGATCGGCAAATTTGAGATTAAGAGCAGCATCAAGATTGACGGTCTGACCTTCTTCAGACAACCAAAACGACGATCCAACCATACAAAGCTCTCTAGAAGATTCCAACCAGAAACCGCTCAGCACGAAAGTGATCGGGCCCGCCCTGTGGGTCCCAGTCCTGTTGAAAAAAGATCCACCGTAGCTATAGTAACCGTACGGTGATCGAATAGACAAGAGGGCTTCAAATTTGTGAGGGTCGTTTCGGGTAATTTGGAGTTTGAGAGATTTGGTGATGAAGTAATGAGGTTTTTCCGATGGTCTTCTGCCTAGGAGTTTGTCTCCACCGGTGTAGTAATTTGTTACCAGCAACGGTATGGAGTAGTTGTAAGAACGAAGGGGTGAGATCGATTCGGGAGCAACGGAAGTACAGTGATCGTTGTATGGAATAAGATGGGATGTGCGTGTATTTGCGAGAACCGAAAGGCAGAAGATGAAATAATAACAGCACAAAGAGGGAATAATATAAGTGAGAGAAGTGATCATTATTACCATAACAAGAGAAACTGCTCAAACAGTTGGAATCAAGAGAAAGAGAGAGAGAGACTGGATTATTGGCATTGACTTTCAGCTGGAGAGAAAGCAAATACTAAATATGAATTGGTCATGTGTTAGACAAAAGTTGGCAACTTGGTATTAAGAAAAGAGGAAGAGAATATGCCAATTATTACAACTTCATCAAGTAGCATAGTACAATTGGATATTACCTGGTCAAGAAAGTGAACATCACCAGGTAGCATGTGTTATTGTAGATTTACGCACAATCGCAAACATAAACATCTGCGTGTGTGTGTGTAAAACGCGTATCGGATAAACTCAAACGTGTGGCAACACAAAGTTATACTAATTCATAGACATTACAACTTCAACAAAAGAATACCTAAACCGATAAGAAATTATAAAGACGATAGATACAAAAAAGCGCACCCTGGCTACGACTAAGGCGAAAAATTAGCCCAAACTTTATGAACATGTATGTATACACATTTTATTGTCGAAAAAAAAAAAAAAGTCAGGTCATTCTCCGAGGTCAGAAGAATGCCTTCCCCTGTACTTTCTCAAAAGTCGAAACAACTAATGCCAATTTCAGTCAAAAACTAGCAAAAAAAAGAGAAAAAACAAAAAATCCACATGATCAAATCATGTCTTACATTCAAAAATCTCTTAAGTCGAGAAATTGCATGTATTATCAGTTAACCTAATTACCAACATCTACGGCCCGAGAACTAGCAGCAGCGGGCTTATTCTTTTTTTGAGATGAAGGAAGAAACTCCTCACAATCTTTGGCTCCAATTTGCGTAAATGTATTTACCATTGTTGTGATAAACCCTGTTACCCTGTATTTAAATTGCTTCGAGCTCTTCTCACCCCGTTCAGCATTTCGAACAACCCCTTTAACAAGAGAACCGACTACAGCTCCGCCGGAATATGCTTGACATGACAACAGAATATCCCTTGCATGCTTACAGAAATGCCCCACCACGAAATCCTCAAAATACTGCACAATAAAACCATATTAAAGTTTTCATTTATTCTTGTTTGATCCTTTAATCAAGAAAATGCAAAAAATTTATCAAAGGTTTAATATTTTTTTTTTTTACCTTTGGAGGTCTTCTCATGGTGTACACCATGGTTTGAAGGGAATGCATGAACGTTTGCTCATTATATTCGGAAGATTTCTTTTGCCCGTTTGGTGTTCCACTCAATCCTTCGTATCCAGGCTCGTTATAAAAGGGCTCAGTATTCAAAATCAAACCTTGAATTGAGACCAAAACTTGTAAAATAGTCGAAACGCCACGGACCCATGTCTCCTTTGGGGCTTGACCAGGCCAAGTGTTGAGAAGGCTCAGACACACTTTCCCACAATCGTACAAGTTTGGATTTATCCGAAGCCCGCCAGCATGGTAATGAACAAGCTGCCACAAAATATTATAAAAGAATAAATAAATAAAAAAAATCGAGTAATTACAAGATTTTAAAATGACGATTTAAAAATTCGTATGGGGATGTGACTTACAGGTGGGACATCGGGATAATTGGCGGGGAAGAAGATATCAAAGAAAAAGAGACCATCGTGGTACGGTGTTCCTTCGGCACCTATGATCACAGCTCTTAAAAGATCCATCCTGGATTCGTACACCCTCACGAATATCATATCTGTTGGAGTAAATAGGCAAACAAATATTGGTGATGAAATATCATCAACAAATGTAAATTAGTAGAATAGACTAAATCTTTGTTTTTTTCTATTTCAATAAAATTACCAGGTAAATTCTTTTCGAGAATCTTCCACTCGTCCTGAACGCTCTTGGCCCAACCCTTTGGTGCCTGTACAAGATAGCAATGATTAAAAATCATTAAAGCGGAAACGAGAAACGGAAGAAAACAAACGCACCTTTAACAAATTCACTCACCTGTTTCCCCGAATAACCATATCTGCCGTAATAGTGGTCCGAATAATCTTCCACGGTATCGAATTTCTCAAACCTTTCAAACTTCTGCAGAATCTCATCCAGCTTTTCTCTGTCTACCACAAAAGGACTTCCTTCTTTGTGAACATAAGCAGCATGTGGGGCCGAGGGGGAAAATGGATATTCAGCGGTAAAACCCGGAAAAGAAGTTCCCGTTGTATCCTTCTCCCATTCTTCGAACGCAGACAATGAAGTTCCCATGCCAGGTGGCACGTCCGAAAAAGTAAAGCCACTTTTACTACTGTGGTCACTCGAAGGAGTTCCCATGCCATGTAAATTAGGTGGCATATACTGAGATGCACCCTTACTACCGTGGACACTCGGAAAAGCTACCAAGCCATGCGAATTCGACGGCACATCCGCATATTGGTGCCCACTCTTGTTACCGTGGACACTCGGAAAATTTCCTATGACATGCGAATTAGACGGCAAATTTGAATATTCGTGTCCACCCTTATTACTGTAGACACTCGGAAAATTCCCCATGCCATGTACATTAGACGGCAAGTTCGGATATTGGTAGTAGCCACTCTTATTAATGTTGACACTCGGAAGACTTCCCATGCCATGAGAATAAGGCGGCACATTCGGGTATTGAAAGCCGCTTTTATGACCGTAGAAACTCGAAAGATTTGAACTTGAAGAAGTTGATTGGTTCTTGGAACTGGAGTAGCCGAGTGATGCACTACTAGACCTGGTTTTACCCTTTACTAAAGATTTCGTAGCTTCTTTTATGGGCTTAGGAAGGAAAAAATCGGCAGAGTGTAGTGAATTTGGATATTCTTGGCTACTCGAAGTGGGCCAGATTGCCGTAGGATTCAATTGGGGATTTGAACCAGTCAAAGTGTTGGTAGTTGGAAAGTTCGAGTTTTCTTGAGGATGAACTGGGAACCAAGGCACCGGTGCCTCGACGCCAGGTGGAATATCCATGTGGTCGAAATGTGATTCCATAATTTTGTCATCATCTTCGTCGTATAATATATCATCGTAATATTTATCGATCCACTCTTCCTCCCCATTGAATATACTTGAATCAGGATCGTCTACGATTCCATCGTCTGACATTTCGACATCACTCAAGCTCACGGATCCATCAGTTGAATAACTGGACAAAACTTCCTACATGTAAGGAAACACTCAATCCGTGAAATTATAAAAAAAAAAAAAAAATAATCAGTGAAATCTTGCGAACAAATAGGCACATACCTTGCCTTTGCCACTGCTGTCAACTTTTTCATCGATAAATATGACATCTTCATAATCTTCTGCCGTGTTCATATCCATCATCTCATGAAAAATGACCTTCTGAATATTCGGAAGCATAGAGGTTAAGATGCAATCCAATCCAGGAGCATAAATTTCATAGAATAGTGCAGCAGAAGAAAACAAACGACAAGAAATTGGAACAGAAGAGCAAGTTAATTATACTACAAGAACCTAAAATCCTCACAACACAGTACATCATATTGATGTTTATCCATGCAAATGGAAAATGTACTATACAAATACATATGCATATATGTATATATATCTTATGTTGGCAGTGTATCTCACATATTGGTTATAGAGGAGTCACCCCCACCAATCTCTAACGTTTATAAGACAAAAGACAATCTTTTTAATATCAACTATTTTTTTAAGGATAAAATAGGAAGAAAGAATACTGGCACTGATATAAAACACAAGCCTCGAATTCTAGAGGCTACGGTTAAGTGAGATCTATTAACTACAAGCAAAATAACCTTAGTACACTCCCCGAATTCCCTACGTCGATCAAAATAACAAAGCAAGGCCTTAAACTCCAATTCTATCTTTCCATAGATTTTCGATTATAATCCCGATGTCTACATTGAATACTACACCGTTTCAATTAAGGAATCAAACCCACCGTAAAAAAAATTCACTTGTTTTAGGCTTCAATCATCATCATAAAAAAAACTACACGAAAATTAGGGTAAATAAAAGAGAGTGAATTCTGAATACCTCTTTATTTTTGGCGTTAATCGGCGGCGGCGGCGGCGCTTCCAAAACCTCCGCGTCCTCACACCCCGACGACGAACTTCCACCGGGAAACACCCTTTTCCTGAACAATCACCCGCATCAACACACACACACACACACACACGCGTAAAACAACAACACAGAAAAATCAAAACACAAGAGAGAAAAAAAAATTACTTGGAACTCTGTGATGTGTATCGAGAAACGGGTGTGAGCGACTCCATGCGATCGCCGCCCTCGAAAGTAAAAAAAAGTCGGAAAAATTGAAATTGGGGGATTCAGTTTTTGGGACGCCGATTGATTGAATTCCTCCTCTCCTCGGCGAATGCTGTACGTAATTGAAGGAACCTTAATCACTCAGAAAGTTGAGAAGGGTTCTGTTTGCTTCATGGATTCTGCAAGGGTAGAGAGAGAGAGAGAGAGAGAGATGTAAGTAAATACTAAAACCATATAACGAGAATACGAGATACAGCAGAAGAATAGTGCTGTGTAATTATAACTTTAGTTTTTAACAATTTCGCACCTCGAAATATCACTTTTTAGTATTTTGCCCCTTTAAATAATAGGATTTTACACCCTCTAAAACCAATAAATTATGGTCAAATCTAGCTAATAATCTCTCATCTTAGTATTTAGGCCACTTAGTGCTCTATTGTCTAATTATCATTCTTAATTAAGTTATAATATGTATTTTTCTTATTACATAATAATATTTATTTATATTAATATATACATAATAATTAATATAAATAAATATTTCGTAAAAATGGTAGTTTTTTAAGTTATAGTATGTATTTTTCTTGGTTGGAAATATTATTGGAAAAATTCATAGTTTATCAAAATAATTCTAACAATGGAATATTTTATTTGTTCTTAAAAGGATTTCGTTAAAGTTAAGAAATTTATACATCAAAGGATTATAGTGAGGTAGATTACAAAGATAAATGATGAAAATGAGAGAATTGAGATATGAAGGACTAAAGTGAAACTAAATATCAATATATAAGACACCATTAATGAGATTTTGCCATAGATTATTCATAGTGATTAATGCATTTAATTAGGATTTGTGAAAGTCAATAAAGACATGTTTGTCCTTCTATTATTATTTTTTAGGGTGCAAATTTTTAACATTTTTGTTAACCCTTCAAGCTAAATTGAATGTACAAAATGCAAAAAGAAATAAATATTTAGCAAAATTACTTAATATTATACTTTATCCAACAAAAGAAGATTATCATAAATGATATCTTTGAAATTGGGTCAAAGGGTATTGGCAATTCTACTTCTATGCGTTGAACAAAAAGATGAATTGTTCTTTAAAATATCAATTAGGTACAATTTGAATAATTTATCACCTTTCGACTTACAAAGTGTTTTTAATCTTTTAAATGTGGAAATTAACAAAATATTTTTGTTCTAAAGTGCAAAGTGGAATTACGGATGAAACTTTTTAATAAAGAGGAGAGTTAAAATTGCTAATCTTATATATAAAAGAAAGAAACGCTAGGGCAACCCTAATCTTATATATAAAAGAAAGAAACGCTAGGGCAACCCTAAGAAACTCTAATATCATATTTGTAATTTTTTTTTACTACTTTCGATTTTTATTAAATTTTTATCTCCTAAATATTATTTTAATATTATTTTCGAATTTTATCATATTAATATCTCCAAAATATTATTTTTAATATTATTATAGATTTTTATCTCCTAAATATTATTTTCGATTTTTATCAAATTTTTATCTCCTAAATATTATTTGAAATATTATTTTTGAATTTTATCAAATTTATATCTCCTAAATATAATTTTAAATATTATTTTCGATTTTTATCTCCTAAATATTATTTTTGATTTTTATCGTATTTTTATCTCCTAAATATAATTTTAAATATTATTTTCGATTTTTATCAAATTTTTATCTCCTAAATATTATTTTCGAATTTTATCAAATTCATATCTTCTAAATATTATTTAAATATTATTTTTGATTTTTATCATATTTTTATCTCCTAAATATTATTTTAAATATTGTTTTCCATTTTTATCAAATTTTTATCTCCTAAATATTATTTTCGAATTTTATCAAATTTATATCTTCTAAATATTATTTAAATATTTTTTTTGAGTTTTATCAGATGGTTATCTCCTAAATATTATTTTTTGATTTTTATCAAATTTTTATCTCCTAAATATTATTTTCAATTTTTATTTATCAAATTTTTATCTCCTAAATATTAGTTGAATTATTATTTTCGTATTTTATCAACTTTTATCTCATTAATATTATTTTAAGGTGGTGTTTGCAAAAGCTTTTTGAAAGTGATTATGAGCTTTTTTTCTTCTCATAATATGTTTTCAGGTGTTTGCAACATTTGCTTTTGCTTATCTTAAAATAATCTGTTTTAAGCTATTTTTTTAAAAGAACCCATAACCCTGCTTTTTCTATTTAAGTTCATTTCCGGAATATTTACAAACACCCCCAACTTTTATAAATAAGCACTTAAAACTGACTTAACTCACAATCACTAACTTCTGTTTTTAAATAATCATTTGCAAACACCACATAAACATTGTTTTTGATTTTTATCAAAATTTTATCTCCTAAATATTATTTGAATATTATTTTCGATTTTTATCATATTTTCACCTCCTAAATATTATGTTTCGATTTTTTATCAAATTTTTATCTCCTAAATATTATTTTAAAAATATTAGTTGAATTATTATTTTCGTATTTTATCAACTTTTATCTCATTAATATTATTTTAAGGTGGTGTTTGCAAAAGCTTTTTGAAAGTGATTATGAGCTTTTTTTCTTCTCATAATCTGTTTTCAGGTGTTTGCAACATTTGCTTTTGCTTATCTTAAAATAATCTGTTTTAAGCTATTTTTTTAAAAGAACCCATAACCCTGCTTTTTCTATTTAAGTTCATTTCCGGAATATTTACACACCCGCAACTTTTATAAATAAGCACTTAAAACTGACTTAACTCACAATCACTAACTTCTGTTTTTAAATAATCATTTGCAAACACCACCTAAACATTGTTTTTGATTTTTATCAAAATTTTATCTCCTAAATATTATTTGAAATATTATTTTCGATTTTTATCATATTTTCACCTCCTAAATATTATGTTTCGATTTTTTATCAAATTTTTATCTCCTAAATATTATTTTAAAAATATTAGTTGAATTATTATTTTCGTATTTTATCAACTTTTATCTCATTAATATTATTTTAAGGTGGTGTTTGCAAAAGCTTTTTGAAAGTGATTATGAGCTTTTTTTCTTCTCATAATATGTTTTCAGGTGTTTGCAACATTTGCTTTTGCTTATCTTAAAATAATCTGTTTTAAGCTATTTTTTTAAAAGAACCCATAACCCTGTTTTTTCTATTTAAGTTCATTTCCGGAATATTTACAAACACCCCCAACTTTTATAAATAAGCACTTAAAACTGACTTAACTCACAATCACTAACTTCTGTTTTTAAATAATCATTTGCAAACACCACCTAAACATTGTTTTTGATTTTTATCAAAATTTTATCTCCTAAATATTATTTGAAATATTATTTTCGATTTTTATCATATTTTCACCTCCTAAATATTATGTTTCGATTTTTTATCAAATTTTTATCTCCTAAATATTATTTTAAATATTATTTTCGATTTTCATCAAATTTTATCTCCTAAATATTATTTTCGATTTTTATCAGACTTTCATCTCCTAAATATTATTTTCGATTTTTATTAATTTTTTATCCCCGAACCAGTCCAATCACTCCTATTTTCAGTCATAAATATCTCTAATGCACAACCATTTAAATCTACTAAAGGTTATTTTATCTTCTAATTTTCCATCTCAACACTAAATATTATTTTTTGATGATAAAATATTAATTATCATATTCCCAAAGATGGACGATTCCCAAAGATTTCCCTTAAGACTCTCAACACTTTCAACTTTTCTATTCCCACTTCAACAGGTTTGGGTTTTATCTTCTTATTTATATCCCACCTCTCATCTTCTCCACCCCAGTTTTATCTCTCCCCATTTCTACCAAATGTTTGTGGCTTCATAAATGGTTAGCTATTTTGCAAATTTGTTTTCTCTTCATAGTTCATAATAAATCTGATTTTCGTCTTTTACAAAAAGGGTAAATAAATTTGATTTTCATTTCTAGCGGATTTGAATTTTATTTTTTCATCCTACCTAAGGCTTCTTCTTTTGGTAACCCGATTTTAATTTAGATTTTTTATCTTATTTTCTTCTTCATCCTATTGACAGTGTGGTAATTAGTTTGCATCATTTTCCATCATGGCTTCTAGGTAACTTCATTCTGTAAACTTTTCACTAATTTATATACCGAGGATTTCAAATTTTGTGTATAACAATTATTTCCTTTTAGATGTTATTAGACATGTTATTGAAATGGATGATTTGAGAGAACTAAGCGAAAATGGGCGGATGCACAAGCTATTGGAAGTCGGCCTTGAAGACCTATTGTTTGTATGCGATATTTAATTTATTGTTTATATTTATTTTTGTTTTTTTAAATTTTCAATTGTTAATTCCAGTGGCAAAACAAAGACCAAAATGAGGCAGTGAAGAAGGGGTTAGTTACGATGCAAGATGTATGGATGATCTTTTACGTTGGTATGTTGTCAATAGTGTAGGTTTGATTATGTTAACTAAATTATTAAATCTAATTAATTTTAAGCTCAACATGAAAGACATAGTTAGTGATTTTATTTGTGGTTCATTTTTCAATCTACTTAGCTGATTAAATTCATTTGAAAACTTATTCAACGATAAAGCTATTTTTTTTTAGTATACTTACTGAAAATGCAAACAAGAG